CCCACCCCCCCCAAAAAAAACCCTCAAAACAAAGACAGGGACTCTGACCTTCTATGTAATTAAAATTGCTTCCTTAATGGAAGCACTTATGATACTAAACCAGGAAACCTTGACCTCTCTTTCCACTGATATGGATATTATGGATCTAAAGACCAATCTCTTCTGTCTGATGTTCCACCCTCCCCCATCCCTTCTGCTTATGGAAGAAGATGAATCTTTCCATCTGTGAATTACCCAATATGCATTATTCATGGAACACTTTTATCAGCCCTATTAGCTGCACATGAATCCAGGTAAATGTCAAGTCATCTTTGTTAATCCTTCATTCAGGCTCTTGGAAGTGATACTGCCCTGAGTGGAAATGCATTTGACCTCCCAGAGTATTCACTTTGCCAGAGTCACATTTTGATGAGGAAGTCTAAGTGGTTCTCTGTGGCACAGTCTGGACTTTTCCCTTTCTGAATAATTGGTGGCAGGAGGTGGCCTCACTTTTTGCATGTTTCCTTCTGGATCCATATTTAAAATGGAGGGGAAAAATGACCTTTTAGCTCACCTCATGTCCATTTGTGCAGTGCCTTGCCTGGTGCAGGTGCCCCACTCCCTGATGGGCTTTAAGAGTTGCATGCTTTGCATTTCTCCTCTGTTCTAGGAGATGACTTGCTGTCTTACATCCTGAAGATGTTTCCCAGGAAGCACATATCCAGGGAAACTACCTTTTCACTCTAACCCTCAGATAAATTCCATGACTTGCTCAGTGTAGTGGTTTTAAAATATGCCTCTTGCTGTTACTGACACAACTGCTTTACTTCCACAAAGACCCGACTTCTTTGGAAAGGGACTTCACCAAAAAAAAAGAGAATTCATGGACGTTAGTGGGAATTTTCTCATATCTTTGCTAACCTTCAAGCCCATACTCCCACAATTCCAATTATTTTATATTTTGCAGCATGTTTAGTCACAAATATTTTCCCTCCATCCCCATGGATATTGAATTTCTGCCTGGATGCTGACTCTGTTTCCAGGGATGGGCTGGAACATCCTACTGGTGAGGACACTGGCTGTACATATGGGACACTGGAGACTGGGTGCCATCAGATCTGGGCCATGGGATAGGGAATGTGGGAGTGCTCCATTCAGCACACAGCTGGGCTGTAGAACTGATTTTCATGATCGTAACTTATGATCTAGGAACCTGTTTTCCATCCTCTGTCTTGTGCCTTGCAATGGAGTCTGATATGGAAAAATCCATATTAATGCCATGTTAAAGTAGCCAACTTTGAGAAGTCCACACCATCTTTCACCCTGCCCAGTCACAAGCTGTGTCTCTATATTGCTTTCTAGTGTCTGTGGAGACACCAAAACTCACCTGATGGTCCCTCCCACAGAGTTTCTGTGCTTGGTGTGTTCACACCTTACTGCTCCAGACCTGGCCATTAACATTTGTCTGTGGTGGAGCAGAGACAGAAATGCTGAGCAGTGCCCAAATCCTTAATCCAGCCTTCCTGTGTGTACTGCAGTTGTCTTGCAGACTCGCACTACACTGAATATAAAAGAATTAAAAGTGCCAGAAAATTTGCCTTCTACTTCCAGGCTTTCCTGGTTTCTCTCTGTGCATCTCCCTTGTTGATCCCACATATAAAGCATAGAGCAAATGGAGGCTGATGCCAGCTGGAGGGTTGCTGCAGTGCAGACATGAAATGATGCTGTCCCTTGGTGTCCTTCTCTTTCATAATCCTTCCCTAATCTGCTGGCAAGGAGGGCAGGGCCATGTTAGAACTCCAGCTGCCCAGCTCGGATGGATGAAGAGAAACAAGTTTGCACATACGTCACTCTGCTTCTGCCAGCTCCACAACAATCACAGAATTTACCATTTGAAATAAGAGTGGTGGAAGCATAACCCTTGGAGAATATGGCAGTGCAAAAAGCTTGCAGATACACAGTGGGCAGCAGAAATGTCTGGAGTGGGTTTGAACTCTTCCTAGCAAAGAGATATTGAAGCAGGCAAACAATGCAAGTATGATAAATGCAATTACTCATTTCATGCTCTTTTCAGCTGGCATTTAAAACTCACCATCTCAGCTTTCCGGCTGCAGGAATCTGGATTAGCTTCTCTGTAAAGTAGCATAGCTTTCTCAGGATGAAACAAAGACTTTTTTAAAAAAAAATCCATATCCTCTGCACAGCATAAAGCCTCTCCCACATGTTCAAATAAGCATTTAAAAAGCTGTTGTGGAGTGCCCAGCCTGAGTGAGCGCAGGACATAATGGGCCAGCCCTAATTTACATCAGTGCAGAGGTAAACTAAATCCTTGGGGCAGAGTGGCTGGAAAGTGGCCTGGAAGAAAAGGACATGGGAGGCTGGTTGAGAGTGGCTCCACATGTGCCAGCTGTGCCCAGGTGGCCAATGGCACCTGGCCTGTGCCAGCTGTGCCCAGGTGGCCAATGGCACCTGGCCTGTGCCAGCAGCCCCAGGACCAGGGCAGTGCCAGCCCCTGTGCTGGGCTCTGCTGGGGCCACACTTGGAGAGCTTTGTCCAGTTTTGGGCCCCTCAGGACAAGAGCGAAGTTGAGGGACTGGAGCATGTCCAGAGAAGGGAACAGAGATGGAGAAGGGTCTGGAGCACCAGGAGCTGCTGAGGAAACTGGGTTTGTTTAGCCTGGGGAAAAGGAAGCTCGGGGGAGACTTTTCCACTCTCTACAGGTCCCTGAAATAAGGCTGTAGCCAGATGAGGATCAGCCTCTTCTCCGGGCAGCCAGTGAGAGGACAAGAGGAAAAGGCCTCAGTCTGTACCAGGAGAGGTTCAGGTTGAGCAACAGATAGAATATTTTCACAGAAAGGATGGACAGGCACTGGAATGGGCTGATCATGGCTGGAGTCCCCATCCCTGGAGGTGCTGAAGGAATGGCTGGACATGGCATTCAGTGCTCTGCTCTGGGTGATAAGGTGGTGTTCTGTCAAAAGTTGGACTCAGTGATGGTGGAGTGGTGATTCTCAAGAGATTCCGGGGGAAAAGTGTCCTGTGTTGAGGACAGCTAAATGTGAAAACACCACCTCTCATTTAGCACAAGCTCACAGAGTGAACAAGCCTGCTGAGGAAGCAGGATGATATGCACACCTCCTCCCAGGTGCTTCCCAGGCATCCAGAGTCAATTGTTGTCTGAAAAAGGATTCTGGACAGGGAGAACTTTTCACCTGATGCAGCACAGTCATTCTCACAGCCTCCTGTTACTGGCAAACTGCAGAAATAGCCAAAGAGCTGGAAAACCTCGATGGCAAGTTTGAGCTTGAGCAGTTGTAGGAAAAAGCACCAAGACCACAACCTTCCAAGTCTTCGGCTTTGCCAAGAAGGTCACAGGCATTGCATGGCCCTGAGCTGGGGCAGCTGCTGTGAAGGGGCTCTCACTGGTGTTGTGCTGGAAGGTGTCTCTGTCCAAGGCTGGGGGTTTGAATTAAGTGATGGGTAAGGTCCTTTTCAACCCAAACCATTCTGTGGTTGTGTGTCACATGCACAGTGGAAACAGAAAACACCATTAAACTTCTCTCTTGGACAGCCTGGAAATTCTCTGGTGAGAGCTAAAACTACCTTCTCTCAGGAAAGAGAATTTGAGGTAGATTTTCTGACAAGCTTTGTCAACTCTGGGAACCCCCAGATAAAATAAAACAAAAACCAAAACAAACCCAGCACTGGAGTTTCCATCCTTTTTCCACTTAGAAGGGACATGAACGTTTCTCCTGGCTTTCCACTTCTCTCCTGGTCTTGCCTTCTTTTTACTAGCTAAAAAAATTTACATTAAACAATTTATGATGGAAACTTTCCTTTTCCTTGAAACACATGGACCAGTAAGAGGGTATTTTAAGCCCCCTCTTGCCTTCAGTGGCCCACCAGGAATGTCAGTGCTGCAGTGTTTTGGTGCCAGGAGTTTCAATTTCACACTACAGACAGCCCTATTTTATTATCCATGCTTTATGGATGGGGAAATGAGAATTCTGAT